ACAAACTGTACTTTTTGTCCTATTAATTTCAGTCTGAGTTTCAATCTAATGCATGTCAACACCCAAATATCGTGTGTGGCCTTACATTTTACTTGGTATTGTAGTTATGTGATTTCGGATTAGCTACATGGACATCTGCGCCCTCGGTTCCTTTTCTTTGCAAAACCGTGAAAGGGACATTCGGGTAAGTTCTTTTATCAAGATTTTGATAAAATTTTGCAAAATTGTTACTTTTAGTCGATTAAAATGACAAAAAATTGTTTTTTCTTTATAGGTATTTGGCTCCCGAATATTTCCAACACGGGAAAGTTTCCGATAAAACCGATGTTTACGCATTTGGAGTTGTTCTTTTGGAGTTGATAACGGGTCGTAAGCCGATTGAATCAAGAAGAGGAATAGGAGAAGAGAACTTGGTTTTGTGGGTGAGTCATTGCTAATAATTTCATTGTTATTTGTTAATAATTTAGAAATTGTTTGTTGATTTAATTATTTTTCTAGCATATAGTTCTCATTATTTTCACCTAAAAGATTCTTTCTAGGGTCAAATGCAAGAAATAGCAACAACCTCCATTTTTTTTTTCTGTTACAACAATTAATAGAGAAACTTATAAAAATATACTTTAAATTTTGTAGGCGAAACCACTAATACAACAAGGATCCATAGAGAAACTACTCGATCCACGTGTCGAATTCACTCAAAAAAATTTGGGCCAAATAACCCGAATGATAGAAGCAGCTGACGCGTGTATAAACAATGAAGAATCAAAAAGACCAAATATTGACACAATCATATCTATCTTGAATGGAATCGAAGCAAATTTACCAAAAAGGACAAAACTCGGAAATGGTTTAACAGAAGGGTTCCCACAAATTCGACAAACAAAGAATGAAATGAAGTCTCATTTAGCTTTGGCAATGCTTGGTGTTTCAGAGTTGGAAGATAGTCATGATCATTTATATTGTCGTTGATGGAAATATCGGTTTTTTGTTTGAATATAACCCAAGAGTACAGAAATTGAAGATTTTAAAAAGGATGAATGAGAGAATTTGTATATAGATCTTGTAGTTGGAAAAAGAAAAAAAAAACTAATTTATATGTTTGCAAATGGAGATTATCATGGTCATATCATCATATGCCTTTATTTGAGAGGCTTGTTATGACATGGTTTTTTCTTTGTTATTTTGTTGGGAAAAATATGTTTGTTTGAATAATATGTTATCGATTAAGTTAAAGTTTTGGTTCATGTATCCAATGGAGAAGTTTATTTAACGTGCATATGTTAATTTTGAAGGATTGTTTATCAAGGAATAAGGTTAGATCTGTGAATAAAATAGTATTGTTTAGTTTGCTAAATCGAAAATGATAATAAAAATATATATAATTATATATTATTATAGTATGTACGTTATTTTGCTATAAGATACAAGTTATCATTGTTTTTAGATTATTGATTATAGTTTCGGAAAACTATTGTTTTAGGTATATTGTAACGTTCAAGTAAAAGGTGTATTTTATATCATAAATATAGATAGGCATGTTATTTTAGTTTTTCAAAATTAAATACTTGAATTATTTGATTTTGAATGCTAATAAATAATATTAGGTGTCGTAAAAAGATATATCATCAAATACATTTTTTTGAATAGTAAGCCTAACATATTTTTAAATTAATTCTTAATTCCACCTACATTTTACAAAAAAAAAAAAAAAAAAAAAAAGTTTGTAAGGAGAAAGACAACACCATACTTAGAAGCCATTTGCTATCACATAATTATTTGAATAGGAACTTTTACCTAAATGTTTATTATCGATATAGAACTAGATAGCACTTCATCAACTTGACCAACTTACCACATTTATAAGAGACAATAGGTAATGCTTCTTGTATCTTAAAATGTTCATCGATTTTTGTGTTCCATATTTAATAATAATAATAATATTAAAAAAAAAAAAAAAAAGCTTCGTTGACATATTAGCTTAAATGTTTAATGTTTAAAAGCTCCATTATTTTTGTTTATTTTGTATAATACGTGTTTAATATTTTATACAATCAGATCAATGGAATCAAAACTTGGATTTATATAAGATTATAAAATATATGAACATTTAATTGCTTTTATAAACTTGTTAAAGACTAACCAATTCAAATGATAAAATAATATATATTTACATAAACACACATGAATTAGGTCCGTATACGATAAAAAAAAGACCAAGACTTAAATGTCTTTCATTATCATCCTAATTTATATATATTTTTTCAAATTCTCAAATCTTTACATAATCAAAAAGAAAACCACCGGCTTGTTTCCAATTTATACATATTTTTTCAAGAAAAATATTTCTTTTACTCTTATTTCTTATTATCTTTTGCTTTTTTCTAAAATACAGAAATAATAATATTTCTTTTCTTTGAATCAAGCATTAAACCCATGAGCAGGCTCCTGTTCGACCGGTTCATGTGGCCATGCACATGCGCCGACTAAATTTAAGAAATGCAGCGGCTTAGGTGCTGATCATGGAGATCACGTGCAACATGAGATGCGAATTTCTGAGGTGGATTACATATTTACATAGTGAAACACCAAAGAATTATCTTTTATAATATTAGGTGATCAAGGTCTAATCTAATAATCTATATATATCTTGTAGCATAAACGTGAAACACCAAAGAATTATCTTTTATATAAACACTATCAATTATTTTATTTTGCATCCCACATTGGCACATTCGTATGAGATAGACAACTTTTTTTTAAATGTTTTTTCATGTTCTCTTCCATGTGAGTGATGAATCTATATAATTGATCACATATTCACTTTGATCTTTCTCTATTTTTTTCCTTTATACATCTTTTAATATTTATTTGGACAAAATTCTTACATGTTAATATGTGATTGATAAAAGATAAAGAGCAGAAAGTAATAAAAGTTTTTTCGAATTTGATCAAGTCTTAACAAAATTTACCTCGACATTTCTCAAGTTCAAGAAAGCTAACGACAAGCAATCACCAGATAAGAAGATGGAGAATTGATTACCATGTACATGTTTTTCTTAAATAGTTGCATTAGAAATATTCCAAGTCCTTTCATGTGATAAGAAGATTTAAGTTTCAATTCATACATATAAATGCATGTATTTATTTATGGATTGTGAATATAGATATCGGAGAGAATGTTTTGTTATTGTTCATATCTCCATCACACATACCGGATCTCAATATAGAGAAGAATCAAATTTCAATAGAAAAACAAAAAGGGATTAGGAGTTAGATAAAATAAATCTAACATCAATATGAAGAAAAAAAAGGTTGTGGGTTAAGGAGATGGATAAACACTAGATTAATATGTATTCGTATTTCGTAACACTTTCCCTTTAGGCTTTAGCACTCCCTGTTTAATATACATCATTTAAAAATTAAAATAAGCCAAAATAGGAGGAAAAATATGTTTCCGCTTGGGTTGGGCCAAACCATTGGTTTGTGGGAATTTGACTTATTAAGGTAATTAAGTATTTCAAATGTTCACATATGGGTAATATTGTTTTTTTTGTACTCATTTACCCAACTAACTTGTTTCAGCCGTTCAAAAATAACCAACATTACCGGCTATTGTAGGTTTTGGGTGATGTGGCATCTACGTGGCTTGTACGCTACAATACTCATCACCTACGTGGCATTGAGAAGTGTTTACATTATAAGAGGGTGAGATACGACAGCTTATTAATTAAAACCCTAGATCGATCGATGGCATCTTCTTCCTCATCCTTTTCTTCCAAACGACAAGACGAATTGCAACCGGATCATCCATGTGATTGCGATTTTCCATCTCGTGTGAAGACATCAAGAACCCCAGACAATCCTGGAAGGAAATTCAGAGTTTGTCAAAACTCACTGATAATTCATATTTTTTACTTCTTCTTCATCCTTCAATTTAACATGTTCTTATACATTTCTTGAAGAATGGAAAAAGTCCAAGCTGTAAATTTTGGCAATGGTTGGATGAGGATGAAGGAAGGAAAGATGGAAGAGGGCATTACAGGATGAAAGCAGAAGAAATCTGCAATCTTACCTTGAAAATTTGTACATTGGAGAATGAAATCAGCATACGCAGGATGAAGATTGAAGAAGAGAAGAACAGGAATAAACAAGAACTTGACAAAGTCAACTGGAAATTGTTTACCTATAGACTTGCATTAATTTTCTTGTTTCTCTTGTATGTCAAAATGTTGTTTTAAATTATGTATTATGATGTAGTATGACTAAATTATGTATGCTTTTGTGATGTTTTCAATGAAAAAGGTTATATTCTATCATTGGAATGGAATAGTACATTGTAATGGAATGGGTATTAAACTTGGTAGTATAAAAGATAGTAATAAACATTGTTATGGAATTGAATCATTGTAATTGAATCATTGGAATGGTATTGTACAAAACTTGTAATGTTATTGTTAATCACTGGAATTGAATTGTTCAAACAATGTAATGGAATTGTGATTACATTGTAAAGGAACTGTGATTACAGTTGATATTCTAAAAGATGGTAATAAATTATAAATAATACAAATGGTATTAGAAAGATGTGCAAAAGATGGTAATTAAATCATTGGAATGGTAGTGTACAAAACTTGTAATGTTATTGTGAATCATTGGAATTGAATTGTTCAAACAATGTAATGGAATTATGATTACACTGTAAAGGAATTGTGATTACAGTTGATATTCTAAAAGTTGGTAATAAATTATAAATAATACTAATGGTATTAGAAAGATGTGCAAAAGATGGTAATTTATTATAGACATTCCAGGGAATATTGAATTCAAAAGATGTGTCAAAAGTTTTACATAACATAGTTAAACATTCATTACACCCAAAAGATGTGCAAAAAGTTAAGCTATTCCAACTAGTTTTCAAAAGATGTGCCAAAAGATTCCAAAGTTAAAAGATGTCAGTCAAAGATGCCAAAAACATTAACAACAATACAATAAGCCAAATGTTAATCCAACTCATACGGATTGTCATCACTACTGCCCTGTTTTCCCTCCCACATCTTTCTTATCTTCAGTTTTGTAATTCTTTCTGAAGGTTTCCTTGCCCTCTTTCCCACTACAACTTGAAAAGCTGGTATTTCCACTTGATCTTGAACTACAATTTGGTTAGCATCTTCAACTTGAACTTGCACTTCAGGTTCAACTTCAGCTTGAACTGCAAGGTGAACTTCAACTTGGTTAGCATCATGAACTTCAGGATGATTTTCAGGTTCAACTTCAGCTTGCACTTCATCTTGAACTTCATGTTGCACTCCATCTTGGACTTCAGGTTCTACTCCATCTTCAACTTCAGGTTGCACATCATCTTCAAATTCAAGATCAAAAGAGTCAACATCACTTTCAGGTTCTATTTCAACTTCACTGTCACTGTCAATATCAACTTCATGTGCCAATACAACCTTCACTTTATCTGTTTTGTATTACTTGAAAAGTTAAGTTATGCCCAATATGTTAAGTTATACAGGTTATATATAAATAAATATATCAAACATACCGGCTTTCTTGGATTTCTTTTTCTTTGAACTTGCATTTGATGATTCCCAATTGGTTTCTGAGGACAGGTTGTTCTATTATGCCCACTTTCCCTACATATGCTGCATTTCATCACACTACCTCTTTTTGTGATTGAATGCTTTTTTCCTTGGTTTTTCCTCTCAATCTGATCCCTTTTCCTTTTTGTTGATGGTCTTCCTGGTAACCTTCTCCTTTTGGGGGGCAATGGGCTGATGTAGTATACATGAGGCCACATGTCACTACCATTTAGTGGGTTAATGGTATTCCTGTAACAGTTTAGGTACATTGATGTGGTAAACCATGGTGACACATACTCCTCTACATCCCTGTTGAGGCTTGCAATGCAAGCATACCCATGCACACAAGGGTAACCTGTTAACTGCCAAGTTCTGCAGGCACATGTCCTACTACCAATATCCACAACATATGCATCATACCCAAGTCTGACTTCATACTGTTGATAACCAGATGGTATTACTTTCCAAAACCTGTCCATATACACATGTTTAAAGACAAACATATATAAGGACAAACATGTTTAAAGACAAACATATATAAGGACAAACAGTTTTAAGCACTTACCTTTGAAGATCCTTAAGCTTGGACAACTTCAGCCTAATGGTAGGACATATGGTTAAATCCCAAGATTGCCCCTTAATCTTCTGTCTATAAAGCCTCTCCATCACATAAATTCGAATTTCTTCTAACATGGTGATTAGTGGTCTCTTCCTAGCAACTTCAATCACAGAGTTGAAACTCTCAGAGATACCATTTTCATATGCATCACAAGCCCTATCAGTCTGAAAAAATGCTTTACTCCAAGTTTTAGGGTCCCTTTCCATCAAATGGTCATAAGCTAGTGGCTCTAATTTCTTGATTTCATTCATGTGTTGTTCAAATTTTGCAGGGGTAGTAGCTGCAACAGCATACCAGAAAAGCTTTCTAAACACTTGGCCCTTAACCTTTTCAGGAAGTTAGCACATATGTGCCTAGCACATTGCCTATGCTCTGCTGCTGGGACCCTTTCCTTCACAGCCTCAAGTAATCCCTGTTAGCAATAGACAAAATTTAAACAACAAAAACATAACATAAGCTAAAATAAAGATGAAAATAATAAAAATTGATTACTTTGTGTTGGTCTGATATCAAGGTTAGTCCATGCCCAACTCCCATTCCAAGGTCCTCAATTAGAAGGTCAATAAACCACTTCCATGTTTCTTTACTTTCCACTGATACAACAGCCCAAACAATGGGATATATATGGTTATTTGCATCTCTACCTATAGCAGAGAGCAACTGACCTCTGCATATGCCCTTTAGGAAGCAACCATCTAGTCCAATTACCCTCCTACAACCTTCAATCCATCCATCCTTCAATCCCTTGAAACATACATAAAACTTTGAGAAATATGTGGTTCCATCAGGCATGACATCGACATCCATCTTCACTGTTGATCCAGGGTTAGTCCTTCTTATCTCTTCTCCATAGCTCCATGTTTTTGCATAATGCTCTTTCAAAGTACCCTCTATCTCCTGAAATGCATACTTCCTTGCATTTCTGCATTGACCAACACTTGCAATCAAATTAAATTTCTTGCTGACTTTAGCTTTCAACTTCCTTATACTCATCTTTGGTTTCTGAAGTATATGATTCATGAAATGCTTTGCTATCCATTTATAGGTAACAATGGACCTAAATTTGAACACTCTTGCACAATTATGCATATCATTCAGAGATTTAATCTGGAATGATTTTTCACTGCTCATCCAGGTTGCCCATAATCTAAAAGGACAACCTTTACCCTGTTTATTTGTCTTACCTTTATAACATTTTACCAATAAGCTTTCATGATCACTTTTCTCATACCATAAATCATATCCATTTTTGACTGCATAGTTGGTGATACACAACTTCAATTCCAATGGATTAGAAAACTTCATACCCAAAACTGGCACCATTTGCTCCCATTCTTGATTCTCATTATGGACAGGGAACACAACATCCTTAAGTTTCCCATTGTTTGCTTCCTCTTCATCATCATCACTAATATGCCCTGAAAGTTTGTCAAGAATGGGTCTCTAAAGTTTTATCAAAAGTATGTTCATCTTCATCATCCTATTCATGTTCATATTCCATTGTCATTGAAACTTTAGAATCCTTGTCATCCTCTTCATCCAACTCATACCCTTTACCATCTTCTAAGAACTCGTTATCAGCCCAATCAAGAATTGGTTCATTTCGGTGGTCAATGTACACATCTAACTCACTCTCAAGACTATCACTCTCCAGACTATAAACAGTCTCCACAAACTTCCAATAATCAGCATCACTGTCGATTCTTCTAATACCCTCACACAAGCTTTCCTTTCTCATACAGTAGTAGACATTATCACATTCTCCATTTGTTAATTTCGTAAGCCACAAAAGAAACTCTTTATACGTAAATCCCCCAAAATCCACATCACGTACATTTGTTTTTACGGGGTCTAAGTACACCAATGGGTTTGGCGAAAAGAATCCATTGTAATGAAAATCTACAGATACATACATACCTGTAGATGAGGATGTCATGCTAGCAGTCGACTTCAATTCCAACTTCAATTCCAAGACCTAATCGTCGATTTGATGTATTGATTAATTTCTCACAGAAGAAGGTAATCGAGGTGTGTTAGCTGACGATGACGAACCCTAATTAAATGAGAAAGGGGTGTAATGGCCACGTAAGATTCCACATAATGTTTTAAACCGAGCTAAATCAATGTTACCGGCTAAAACAAGTAATAGCCGGTAATGTTGGTTATTTTTGAACAGCTGAAACAAGTTAGTTGGGTGAATGAGTACAAAAAAAAACAATATTACCCATATGTGAACATTTGAAATACTTAATTACCTTAATAAGTCAAATTCCCTTGGTTTGTGATAGACTCAAATTTGAATATTTGAGATGTTAGACTATCAATTATTTATATTCGTATAATATGCAATTATTTTTATATATTTTTTCATTTTCTCTTCGATGTGAGTGATGAACCTATATAGATGATAGCATATTCACATTGAATGGATAATTGGAACTATAAATATGATAATATAAAACGATTCATGTCATTTGGAGTTAAACTTTAGTCATTTGTCCGATTTTGTCATTAAAGTTTTTTTTTTTTTTTTTTTTTTTTTTTTTTTTTTTTTTTTTTTTTTGCAAAAACTAAACTTTTCTTTTTGTGCAAAAAAAAAAAAAATAGTGACCAAATAGGACAAATGACGAAAGTTTAAGTACATCAAAATAACTTATTCTAGATATGGAGATGTAGCCAAGACAACAAATAATCCATATAAAAATATTAACTCAATCCGAGGTGTTATGAGAAATTTATTAGTGTTTGAAGTTGAGGAAAAATGTTGCATGATATGAGTTGATGGAAACATTTATAAGTTTGTGAAACATCCCAAAAATCACTAAGTGTCCTTTTTTTGAGGCGAAAAAGTATGACCTTTCCATTAAAATTTTTGGACTATAATATATCAATAGGTAGCCCTTCCTACAAATAATACATTATAAAAAGAATAAGGCAAATTAGAGTTTGCATGAGAAAATTATGCTTGTTAAAATTTTGAGAAATTTATAAAGGTAGAATGTAACATCCCAACTCCCAGGTATAATATTTAATTAATTTATTTTCATAATTTCAAAGCAACTCGACGAGTTGGATGCCCCAACTCCCCGAGTAGAGGAGCTAATTGGCCACGTGATTTCTAGAGTCTACTCGACGAGTTGGAAGCCCCAACTCAACGAGTAGGTGTTGAGTGAGAAAACCCTAATTTTCAGGGTTTATGTCATATTTAAAGGACCTTAAGCCTTCATTTCCGCCACCCTTGTCACCCTAATACCCTGTAAGAAACCCTAATCGTGTGTATTTGCTTGTGTGTGTGTATGTGTGTGTGTGTGTGAGAGAGAGAGAGAGAAGCTAACGTTGGGTGTTCTAGTGCATATTCGGAAGAGGATTGAAGAACATAAAGCTTTGGAACAAGAATAGGCTTTTGGATCAAGTGTTTTTCTGTGCTAGCTTTAGTTTGGAGGTAAAAAGCTACCACCTTGAGCAATTCTTTTGATAGATCTCCTTCTAGCGAGTTTTAGGGATTTTTCCCCTTATCTTGTGCTTCTTGAGTTGCTAGAGCTTGTCATGGAGTTTAGAATCCGGATCTAGACAAAAGGAGGTCCCATGAGCCTAAAGATCCAAGCTTTATCAAGCTTTGGGTAAGTCTCCATGCATGAAACCCTTGATGGAGTTTGTTTAGGCATTTTGAGCCCTAGATGCCAGGCATGAACGTAAAGCTTGCAGCTTTACGTGAGCCTTAGAAGGTTAGATCCAGATTATGAGACGTCATTTCTACCTAAAAACGTCTAAATGAGGAAATGGTCTGAAGGGACTCGACAAGTCGGTGTGCTGACTCGACGAGTCAGATAAAGTTCCCCCCAACGAGTCTGGACACGTTGTAACTCAATGAGTTGATGAGACAACTAGACGAGTTGAGCTGGACTTTCATGATATTTCTGCGAAAACGAAAGAACTCGACTAGTCGCATAGATGCACTTGACGAGTTGAGTCAACATGGACTGTTGAATCGAGTGTTGACTTCTGTTGACTTTTAGGGTTTGGTCACGACATGGATTATGGAGACAAGGGAGGGGTAAAATGGTCTTTACCCTTTCCAAGGGTTAGAGAAAGAGGTTAACTTAAATTATTTGGGTTGAGGTGATAAGTGTTAATTAGAGATGATTATGACATGTAGGCGAGGATTGGACCGTTTGAGGGGTACGAGGTTTACTTGCTTACTTACTTGGTGAGTCTTCTTATACTTATCATGAGTGGTAACATTGTGTGAGCAAAGGGTCTTATATGCTTATATTGAGAATTGTGATATCCTTCATTATGTCTTTGTGATTTATGTTGTGTATTATTCTGAGCTTTATTGAGTTAGGACTGGAGGGTCCTATAACACCCCGAAATATCAAGAGTAGAGTTAAAGGGCTAAAAGGGTAAATCTTGAAGGGCAACTCGGCGAGTCCATGGATGGACTCAACGAGTAGGGTCGCGACTTTGGTCGCGTGTCAAGTGGCCTACTTGGCGAGTCCTAAGATGGACTCGGCGAGTAGGTGCTGAGTGGAGAAAACCCTAATTCTCGGGGTTGAGCCCTATATAAAGAACTTAACATCCATTCCCCTAGCCTCTTTACTCATCCTCAAGTCCAGAAACCCTTAGTATTCGTGTGTGTGTGGATCAAAGTGCATTTGGGAGCTTGAAGGGTATTTGTTGAAGAAATCTTGGGAGTTTGGAGGCTTGGAGCAAGGGGCTTTGCTTGGATTCGAGTTTCATTGCAGTTGGGGCGTTCTTTTGAGGTAATATCTTGTTCTTGGGCTGTTACTCATATGGATTCATCATTTTGGGGTTTATGGGAGCTTATCTTGGTATGTTTTGGAGTTTGGAGGTTAGATCTGAGGTTGCTACCTCAGATCTGGAATGGGGAAGGTCTAGAGTGCATTAAAGTCCCTGTGTTTGAGTGCTTAGTGAAGCCATCATGTCCCAAACCCTAGCTCTAAAGTGTATAAGGCCTAGATCTCTTTGGATTCACGTAAAGTTTGCCACTTTACGTGATGGATGGGTTGTAGGAGGCTAGATCTATGTTTTGGATCAATTGCATGGCCTGGAACGCTTCTGTATGGATTCAGACCGGTGGTACTCGGCGAGTCACAAGGGTGGACTCGACGAGTTGCTTGAAGATGAGCTGGAACTCGACGAGTTGGATGAACAACTCGGCGAGTAGGTTGAAGATAGCCTTAGACTCGGCGAGTCTGTTCTTGGACTCGGCGAGTCTTGTCGAAGAATCCCAATATTTACTGGTTGAGTTGAGAATCGGTGAGTCAAGGGATGACTCGGTGAGTTGGATGCAAGTGGACTCAGAGTTGTTGGACTCGGCGAGTCTTGGGGTGACTCGGCGAGTCATCGGGTTGACTCGGTGAGTATAGTCAGTAAGGGGTTGACTTTGACTGTTGTCCAGAGTTGACTAGTTTGACTTTGTAGTGTTAGTCAGCCAGGATCAAGGTGGTATTAAGTAGAGATATGCTTGTGTTGTAGGAGGACGATAGCTCGGGAGATCGAGCGCTAGTGATTCCGAGATACGCGAGGTGAGTCTTATCACTATACTTTACCTTGAGTAGGTAACCAGAGTTATGTGACAGAGTATTTGTATGTTATGTGTTGTACTGCATTATTTCTATGTGATTTATGATGTGCATGTTTACAGAGTTAGAACCGTAAGGTTCACAGAGTTAGAACCTGAGGGTTCACAGAGTTGGGTGCACGGACCCATAGAGTTATAGCCTCGAGTGGCTAATATGTGTTATATGTGGTATTTTGGGGAACTCACTAAGCTTTGTGCTTACAGTGTTTGATGTTAATTGTTTCAGGTACTAGTGACGACCTGGGGAAGGCGCCGGCTTGATCAGTACACACGCACGGGATTTATGATTTAGAGATCTTGGGATTTTGTATTACTTGGATTGAACGATTGAAAATGGTTGTTTTCTGAATATTAAATGAATTATGTTTTATAAAAATTTGAAAATTTGTTTTGAAATTTACGGTGTTACAATTTGGTATCAGAGCCTTGGTTTGAGGGATTCGGATGCACCTTCGGGCGTATTTGAACTCAAACCGAGGATTTGAGAAATTTTACAACCAAAACTACAAATTTTCTAAAAAGAAAAAGAAGTTTTGGAGACAAGCAGAGTGGAAGGTGTGTACGGTCAGCCAGCGCCCGAACGGTGAATCCCCAAAATACCCTTACTTTTGTGTTATGAGATATTTATGATGCACTTTATGAGATATTATTGCATGCTAGAGACAGGCTAGGTATTCCATATCTTAGGACTAAAGTGGCCTGATTTGTGATGCCTTAGCCTAGGGATTGCTGTTTTATGCGATGTGCTTTTGAGTATGTGATAAGTGAGAATATTTAGTTGGAATCCTTGAGGGGATTCGAGTAGAAGAGTAATCTAGGGGAGATACCTAGATAAGTACCGTGGTACTTAGCAAAGGAGTAGTTAAAACCCGCGAGGGGAAGAGTTGCAGAGTTCGGTGGTACTTTCGGGGATGAGCTGAGCAAGCGGAGTTATCACCCAGAGTGAGTTATATATATCCTTCGATGCTCGAATGCTGCTTGCTTCGTGCTTTGTGGAACTCTCGATCATGGGAGTCAGCTACCAAGCGAATATGATGATATTCAGGAGGTAGATGGCTGGCATCATTAGGAGCTCTTCAGCAGCTGATGGCAGAGAAGTGTGAGAATCTAGGAAGAGCCTAGGGAGTATCTGTAGCCAGATGAGTGCGCTGGCAGAGTAGAGAATTTCGCTGGAGAGCAAGCACGCAACGGAATTGGGGATCGAGAAGGTCGAGCAGCTACTTAGGAGTTCTGGGATAGTCCGTGTGGAAAGTATGGGTAGATGTGGCAGGTAGTATGGGCCCGTACTACTGAAAGCAGAGGACCCATACTTGATACAGGGGGTATTCTGA